GGTAAGATACACTTTAAAACATTTTTTTCCTCAGTATTTGAGAGAACGAAGCAGAGAAAACTCAATCTGAGCTGCAGCTTCTGTCTGATTACATCAATATTTCCAGCTGCTCTCAATAAAAAAGCATGTTTAGTTAAAAACTTTATAAAACAATGATGAGAAAACTGTAGGGTTAAGGATTGAAATTTTTAGTGATGTGAGCCTCTGTATTCTCAGAATCACAGCTTTCTTGTAGGGTTGGGCAAAACTGTCATAAAAATTTATTATGAAAAACTATTGCATTTAGTCAAACAATTATATAATTGATGATAATTGTATTTGCATGTAGCTGAAGTTGTGGCCTTGGTCTGCTTTTCCTGGGTTTCCTCATACTCTGATTTATGCCAGTGTTTCAGGTGATTAAACAAGTTTGTAGGGTTAGCAGTAGCTTATCCATGCCAACTTCCACCATTACGCTCACATACACATCCAATAGTGATAGTATATCACACTCAAAAATACATCAGCACATGGCACTAATTGCAAAGTGGCACAAATATTATCAACAGTTTTACTGATGATTAATTGCACACGATACAATTTTGCCCAACCATAATTTCTAGAGATGATAACTAGTTTATTGTTGTGTAGTTAAACCATCACAAGTGTGATTCTGACTGATCAGAATGGAGAAAATTGAGATTTTCAGATGTTTCTCATTGTGGCTGGTTTTTCTTCCTCATTGTGCAATGGTATTGCTGAAAGACGTAGGCACAGCTGTTAATTTTTCCAAACTGTCTGCTTGCTCTGTGCGCTCCTCTCTCCTGCTGCAAAATGCACCACAGAAGTTGCTGCCAGCTTCACTGTGCATTTGTTTTCTGACAAGTCTGTCTGCTTATGTGCAGAATATCTAGTAAGTGGTTGGACGGCTTTTAATGTATTTTTATTTTTAGGCAAGAAATCCTTTGCATGGCTTTCAATGCAGTTCTGTCAGCTGCATGCAAAAATAAGCTGTGATTCTCAAAGACTGGTCATGCAAAACACTGTCGCACGGCTCGCTGACTAAACCTATGTTGTATACTGGTACGCTTGTGTGTGTCAGTTAGAACATTTGCACAGAAAAATAAAATAAAATGGAAAGCACTGACCGTGCTTGTTACATTTTACTATAAACATTGAGCTGGTTTCTAGCATTCCAGACCAAGAACCCTGTAAAGCCTCAAGACTGTTGATGGTTTATTCCAGGGATTCAGTTGCATTGTGAAGTGATCAGTTTGAGATTAACCAGATTTGACAAAGCTCTTGGCCTAAAAAAGCACACCCTCTCGAAAAAACGTTTGCTGTTGCCCCGGAGGGCACTTTGATTCCCTCTGTCCTCCTGCCAGCTCACTTCATGCCTCACTCTGCTCTCATTGATGTGAAAATCAGTCTACAGATACAGGAATATCAATGTTGATGCCCGTTTACTAGCTTTACACACCTGCTCATATGTGTGTGTGTGTCTTTTTCTTGTGTGTTTTTGATTTTTGTGCTTTATTCTTCCTTGTCTGTTGAACCTCCTGTGCTGTTGGGATACATCGTACAGATGAAAGCAACGGAGGCTTTTTATCTACCCAGCACATTTAAATTGTATGAGCCTATTATAGTGCTGTGACTTAGCCTTAGAAGGCTAATTGAAAAGAGCTAAATCCAAGGTTTGTTTGTCTGTTTTTAAGAGACCAACCAAACAACATGAAGAAATTCATCCTTGGATTGTTGATTCCTGTTTGTTTGTTGATTTTAAGAGGTAGCTGTTTCAATCATTCTTCATGAAGAGACCAAATGTGACATTACCATTTTTTCTTTAATCTAGAGCCTTGAAATTTATGCCAACAGTTGCTACTTAAAGTGTGCTTCAATTTCCTTTAGTGTCACTATTTTGTTGCAGTTTTGTATTATGATGAATATATTCTTCCTTAATAAAGATGTTTCACAAAATCCCCATGGTGCCCCAAAACAGATGAACCCCGCAGGAAAGATGCGGGTTAATATRTGGCGCTATAATTTTATTTTATTTATGGTACTTTCCTTCTTACAATGTCATGTTTGTTGTGCCTTATTTTTCTGCTGTGCAGCAACAGATTTACTATAAACCATCCAAGTAATGTATAAAAATGAGTCTAAAATCACTTTATGATCCAAAGTGGCCTTAGCTCATGAAAGACCAAAGTCTGAGTAGCCATGACAACACAAAGACGGGATCCACTCCTGGCCATTGACTCTTCTCAGTCAGTGCTGAGTGCTGAAGGAAGAAGAAGAGATAAGGATAGATTCAATTCAATTTGCTCCGAACGGCTGGCCCTCATGTAAATRGAACAAGGAGGTTACACACTGGGCCACACAGGAAGGAAAGCAYTGAAAAGTAGGAGTGAGAGTGGAAAGTTGTGTTGTCATACTTAAGTACTCTTTCAGTCACCAGAAACATGACTACTCCTTTGCTTTCCCCCTCATTTGCAAAAAGAAGCAAAAAAGGAACATTTTCAACAAGAAAAAAMAAMCAAACAAATTTATTATTTCAGTGAGCTTTCAGAAAATAACATTTGCTTGTTTATAAATTCTTACTGTTTAACCCAGCTTGCATTAGTTTTCTTCCCTTATTTACTTAAAATGTCAAGGATCATGTTGAAATTGTACAACTGGAAGTATCACGGGACTTTTCAGACTAACTAAAAATGGGCAACAAGATTTAGTGGCGCCCACACATGCTGCACAACTCCTCCTGAACACCTGTGGAAGTGTAGGCTGGAGCCTGACTTTAGAACAGATCTTCATGTTACCTAAGGAGGAAAGAGCAGGTGTGTTCTGTGGTGTATTTTCTTTACCAGTCATGATGATCCAACTGTTTTTAAATCAATAGCCATTTCTATCCAGGTCTTATTAGTCAGGCAGAAATGATCCCTTGCGAACACCTCTTTTGAAAGCATACATTTTCTGCATAATGGTGATGTATTTTTGTCTCAAACACCTGAAAATCTTATTTCTTTTAGGAGAAACATTATTTGTGATACTGCTTTTCATATACTGTATACTTTACACAAATAGCATTTCAGCCATCTGCACAATGAAGCACTTTCAAATACCCCAACTTTGTACTGTTTTTGATTCTTGATTCAGCCTAAATCCGCTGGGTTTGGAGTGTTAAATCAGGCCTTTTTAGTTTGCCAAGCACAAATTTTTCTCTCTCTCAGTTTTAAATGTATGTAAAAGCAGAATAGTTTAAGTACTACATAATTATGACCCCCGCACGTGAAGCGTAAGCGGGAGTCATATTGTTTTCGTACTGTTTTTTTTTTGTGATTTTTGGTCAACCGTAGCACAAAAACGGCTGCACCAATCAACATGAAATTTGGCAGGACTGTAGATGAGTCTGACCTACACTGCGCCAGCCAACAGTTTGACGATACACCCCATATTTGAAGAGTGGGCTCCTTTCAAAGAGGGGGTGTCTGGACATGCAAAAATGCTTATAACTCAGAAACTGTTCAACATAGGAGCTTCAGATTTCTTT